TAGATTCGGCCGAGGCTGCGGCGCTACTGAGCGCGAACGGCACCGCGCTGAAGCCCGAAGCGCTGCTTGAAAAGTTCCTGAACGTCGCGGTACTCTGCGACGTTCTCGCGTTGAGCAAGAGCGGCGCGGGCTTCAGCGACCCTGCGAACCTGTTGGCTGCGCGCGCTGTGCAGATCCTGAGCGCTGCGCTCAGCCGTCCACAGTGCGATGCTGCCGCGTTGCTTGAGCAGCACGAGCCTGCGAGCGTTGTCGCTGTTTTCTCAACGTTTTACGATGCAGCTGAAACTGACACAAAGTTGCATATCATGGCTGCGATCGCGCAGATTGCGCGTCCGCAGCTGCAAAGCGTACTAGAGCGTTCCTCCGGACGTGCTTTCACAGAATTCGTTCTCATGCTGCGGAAGTGCGTGGCAAAGGCAGTCGCGTTCCTGCAATCAAAGTCTCACTTCGCGGCGCTTCAGAACTTCATCTGCACTGGGTTTTGCCCCGTCGAAGTGCTGCTGCTCGCGCAGCAGTTGGAGACGCTAGTTGCTTTAGCGTCAGATCTGTTCAGCTGGTTGGACGAAAGCGCCGCGACATTATTTGGAGGCGACGACGCCTCGCAGTTCATTGCAAAGCAGTTCGTCGAGATCGGCGAGCTGCACATCGTGTTACTGACTAGATTGTTCGAGAGCGACGTGAGCAGCGCCGGCGCCGTCGGCAATTTAAACGCATCAGATGCGGCGGCGGAGCACAGCGCTCATCTGATTTTCCGTTTTTTTGCCTGCGCCGCGGCACGGAAAGCGCTCGAGAGTGAAGCTGCTAGAATCGAAACATTGCTGCGGCAAGCACTCAGCTCGCAGCGCCTAGCGGCGTGTGCCGCGGCGTTTCTTATGACACACGAGGCGCTTTTGCAAGACATGGTTATCAACGAAGCAGGCACATTGTTGCAGAAGTTTGAGGACACCGAGAGCGACGTGGAGGCGCAGTTCACACCGAGCTTGCTTTCCCAGTTTTGGATTTACTCTGCTTTTGAGCCGGCGCGCGTGCTACCTTTGCTAAAAGCGGCGCTGCCCGCCGCGATAGAGTACCTTGCGCGCAAGCTGCGCCAGAACGAATCGCAGCTTGCAGACGTAGTTGCTGCGGCAGATCCGTACGCGCAGCTAAGCGGCGTGAACGATCTGCGGCAGCTGTGCTTCGTCACGCTGAAGCTGGTGTTGTCCTTCTCAGGAGTGTTCCATTGCTCGCCGTTAGACCAGAGCAGCGCGTGGGGTTTTCTGCGGCTGACAACTTTTCGCTCCGTGCTGCTCGAGAGGATGGTGAGCTTTCTGCTTGCTGCCGAGGAGTATGCGCTGTGTGGAACGTTAATGCTCGCGCTGTTCAATCGCTACGATCAGTTTGCGAAGAGTTATCGCGAGTTGAGTTTTTCGCCGCTCGACTTTTTGAGTTGTACCGCTGTGTTGCAGCGCTTGTTGCAACAAGTAGACTTATCGGCGCTGCAGACTACGGTCGAGTTCGGCTGGTCGAAGAAGCGCGCTAACCACCATTTGCTGTCGGAGAGCACCTCGTGTCCCATCGAGTCGCTGTTGAACGCAGTAGCCTCGGGTGAAAACGTCACTGGCTGGGTTGTGCGAGATACGCTGCGCGGCGAGACGGCGTGTGCCTGTCGCGGCGCGCTGCTCGAGCGCTTCTTCTGGACGCGCGTCTATCGCTGTTACGTAGTCTTGTGCAGGAACTTCACGCTACAGAATATAGGCTTTGCCACCGATTTGCACGTCGCGCCGCTGGCAACGCTTAGCACTTCACAGCTCAGCCGCGCCGATAAAGTTGCGCGGATTTATGAGCTTATCGGCAAGCTTTGCAGCGAAGGGAGAATCGACGAGCAATCTATAGCGAAGACCACACGTAGCAAGGCAACGTCTACGCAGCGACGCAATCACTCGGAAATCCGCTGCGCACCTGTTACAGTGACACCGAAACGCGAAGAATTGCGGAGCGCTGAATCTCGCGGAGCGCTCGGGCCCGGGGAAGTGTTGCTGCACCGCTCGGAGCATATCTGGCTTGCGGAACCGACAGCGGCAGAGCCTCCTGCAGCGCGTGTGGCAGCAAAAAAGTCTACCGACTCGGCAGCCTCTTGCACAATCAACAGCGACAGCACTGAACTGCGGACCGAAGCGGAACCAGTTGTCGCTGCATCTGCGATGCAGAGCAGCACTGCGGTTCATGGCTTTGCGTCTCAGAACCTGCAGATATTACAGGCGGAGCGACAGGAGCGACCGCAGCTGTCTGCGCTTAAGCTGCCCCCAACCGAGCCGCTCGCAGCAAACAGGCCATCTGGTTTCCTGCAAGACGAACTGCTGGAGAACGGTACTAGCGCGCAGCGCGCAACAACAAGTTATTTAGCGTCGGAACTCGATTTGCCGCAGCCGACGAATTTGCAAGGAGCAGCGCAAGACGGTCTTCATGTACCAGAGTCCCGCGGTCCAGAAGCGATTGCGAGCGAACAGCGCGAGTGCCCGAACACATCTTCGTTACCAGATTCGGGAAGTAGGCCGGACGCACGCAGTGTCCGCGTGCGCGCGCTGGGCTTTGCCTTTAGCAACATCGTTGAGAAGCTGAAGGGCGCGGTCACGAGCGCGGCGCCGGCAACGCAACCGGCAAAGGTTGCGGAGCCGGACGATGGCAGCGCGCTAATCGCCGATTCGCCGCCCACCGGCTCTCAGTCGTTCGCGGAGCGGCAAGCCCCCAAGCCTGATTCGAACTTCATTTCGCAGTTCCTGTACGTCAACGATCCGGGGATCGACTTGGGAAAGACTAGGGACGCATGGCCGGAATCGCAGACGCGCGACAGCGGTGGGCAGTGGAAAAATGTGTCTTCCTTCCGCGCGGACCGCGGCTCGGGCAATCGGTCCGTAGAGTTGAGTCACGCGGCACACGCCAGCTTGCTTTCAGCGGCAGCGCCTTTTCAGCTCTACAATGATACTAGCGAACCGCAGCAAAGTAACGTCGCTCAGTCTGTTGCAGCGGCGGAACACTCGCCGCAGCTAGGCTTCGAGCGGCAGTGCAACGAAAGCTGCATGGCTCCAGCGCATCCGCCGCTCTTCGACGCGGCCAATCTGGGGCTGAGAAACGGCGCAAATATCGCAGAGGACAGCTTCCAAGACGTATCAGGCGCGGCTGCGTTCAATTCGCAATCGGGTGTTCTGGAGTTTGGAGCGCAGCCGCACGCGAATACATCGCGCACGACGCAGGCTCCCAGTTATTCAACCTGCGAACCCGAACTGCGGACGAAAAGTGAAATGTCTCATTGGCGCGGCGTCGAGAAAAGATCTGCGAATCAGTTTTTACCGCAAGAGAGGGGTGCAAAATTCGCGTTGCAGCAAAACTATTGCGACTCCTCGTCGGTTGGCGCGACTTTCGACGCAGCGTCGAACGCGGGCTATGACGCGGCTGTGCAGTCGAGCTACGCGCATCAAGCCGGGGCAAACGCGGTCAGCTGGGTCGCAAGCCAACGAGCTGAAGAAGGTTGCTTTGCTCCAGCAACTGCCAGCAGTGTCAGTTCCCAGCCAGACTGCCATCCGGCCTCTGGGCAGGCTGCAAGCATTGCAGCGGGGGGCTATACAGCGCAGGCAGCTGCTTCGCATCTGAACAGCAGTGGCGAGTTTTCTGCGGTCCGACCTGCTTGCTGCGAGCCTCCGCATTGCCAGACGTTGGACATGGTGGCAGCTGCCGCGCCTGGCTTTGTGAACGGTGACGTAAATCAAATCACACACGACGTCGGCCTCCCCGGCGCTTTCAGCGTCGACCGAAGGGGGTTCAGCCCGTTCGATACTGCAGGTTGCAGCGCTTCGGACTATGCTTTAGTTATGACTCACGACACTTCGGCAAACGATTCCCGGGAGGTCCCTACTACCTCCCGCGAGTTCAGCAAAACTGATCTTCATGGTGGTTCTGTGCGAGCCGCTGCGAAGACGAACAACGCTGTTTCCGCTGCGAGCGGCATTGCTTACCGTTGCGTGTCGAAAAGTTTGGCTGTCGCGGTCTGCGCAGCAACGGCTGATGAGGGCGCTGCGGTCGAGCAAGCTGGCGCTCGAGTCGAGCAAAGCCCGAGAGCAAGCAGCGACTCTTCAAACTTCGACCTGTGCGCCGCGCCTAGCGCCGCAGGCGTCGATACCTGCGATTCGGCGATACGTGTGGCAGGCAGAGCGCATCTGCTGATGGGTAATGACGCGGCGCAAGCCGAGATGGCGCCCAGAAGCACAGGGCCAGCGCTTGCGCTCGGCGCCGCGCAGAATGTTTCGCACGATCGGGCAGAGCTGCGGGAAGACTGCGCGCCGAGCGGCGCGACAACTGCGTTTGCCGCGAGCGAGCCACGAGCCAGTGCGGGCGTCGTAGAGTTTAGCGACATTCGCGAACTGAGCGATGCGGACAGCGTTAACGAATGCGACTCGGGCTCGGAAGACGATGACTTTTTTAAGAAATTGAGTTACGGTGCAACGGGTAGCGTTGTTGAGCTGACGACCGGCAGGGCGTCGGCTGCGCGCAGCGCGAATGGCTTTGCTGTGCAAAGCACTGCGTCAGCGGCTCTGGAGCGAGTCACGCACGGCGAAGCGCAGCGCACAGCGAGCAGCGCGTTCACCGAGCGGGTGCCGGCTAACGGCGCGTCGCTGCACACGCAACTGCGCTATGCGGAGCACGCGGTGTGCGGCGAGATGAAACACCTGGAAGCCGAGATCGGCGATTTTTACCAGTCTGCGGACCTGAACCAGAACAACAAAACGAACGATTTTGTGTCCACCTACTCCAACGACGTCTCTCTGGAGGACGCGTCGGGCGTGCACAACATTTTGGATGTGAAAGGCGAAGAGCTCGAAACCGCAGCGCGATCTGAGCCGCCAGAGCCGAGTGCAGCGTGTAATGCCCTGAGGCGCAGCGAGTTCCGCTGCAGAGGTGCCGCGCAGCGCATCGCAGAGGTCGCTTGTGCGTCCAATCCGCTGCCGCAAGCGGCGCCTTCTGAGCAGCAAACTGAGCAGCAACTTGAGCAGCAAACTGAGCTGCAAGCTGAGCAGCAAATCAAGCTGCAAGCTGAGCAGCAAATCAAGCTGCAAGCTGAGCAGAAAATTGAGACGCAAGTCGAATCGCGCTACGTCGATGCGTCGCCGTCAGGTGACGCTGCGATTTGTACTCTGAGTGCTAATGCTGACGCAGGCGCTTGGTTTCGCACGGCTGGGATGGTCGAAGGCAACACGAGCATCGATTGCGGCACTGACGTTCGTGGGCACTATTCGCATACTGCTGCGCCAACTAGTGCGCAGCAGCAGCGCAACGCTGACTCGCAGTCGCAAGCGGCCGAACCGCGGGGCTTGCTAGTGCCGACGCACGCGGCTGAGAAAGACGCAATCCCCAGGGCTGCGCAGCGGCCGCGCTCGCAAAGCACAAGCGAAACCTTACGATTCGTTCCGGGGTTGGAGGCAGTCGCGCTGCGCGCGGGGTGCGACGCTGCGCGTGCTGCTAACGAAGAAAGGGGTCGCTATGCGCCACCGCCGAGCTTTGAAAATGAAGGGTTTGCACAAGCTGCGTTGCAAGATCGCAGTTGGCGTGCGGTGCACTGTGCGCGAGCGGAGCGGACTCCGGACGGCGCGCAACTGTCAGCCGAGCGGCCAGCCGAGCGGCCAGCCCAGTCGGCTGCGTCCGAGTGCAACAGCTTTCAGGCGGCGGGTCGCGTCGAAACAGTTGCCTGGAGAGAAGCGCAGTCGAGCGTGGACCTTTGCGGCGTGCGCGCAGCGCTGCGTGAGTCTAGCGGCGCGCAGCGGAGCGGCGCTAACGGCGCCGCAGAGCGCTACAAGTGGCAGCAGTTAGCGAGCGAGGGCGCGGCGCAGTACGGCGCAACGTGGAGCGATCGTGAGCATGCGCTGCCTCGCGGCAGCGGAAAGAACCCTGCCGACCGCGGCCCGCCGAGCGCGGAAGCCACAGGAGAAGAGAACGGCGGAGCTGCGCGTCGCGCAGTGTCGGCGGCACCCTCTAGTGAGTCGCTTTTGGCGGTCGGCAGCGCAGCGGCGAGCGGCGCGCTGAAGAGTGCGCAAGTTAGCGCAGAGTTGCTGAGTTCGGCGCAAGTGACAGCAGCAGCGACCCCGGGCGCTAAAGCTGCCGGGACGGCGGGCGCAAAGCCGGACGCAAAGCCGGGCGCAAAGCCGGGCGCAAAGCCGGGCGCGAAGTCGGGCGCGGAACCGGCGCATTGCGAGCGGCGCCGCGCTGGCCTGCGGCGTACGGCGAAGTTGGCGCCGTTCCAGTGGAGCGCTAGCTGAGCTTGATCCGCTTGGTTTGTGAGCGCGTTTTCATGCTTTTCGCGGACGTCGCGTCCGCGATGACGGACGACGTCTCGCTGGAGCTGTCGCTTAACACGGACTCGAACAAGTCTTCTGTGTCGCGCAGCAGAGCGAGGTTGTTGGCAGCGGCGCGGTCTTTGCAGGCGCGCTGCTGCACCTGCTCGACCTCGGGCTTTTCGAGGTTCGCGGCGAGCACGCTCGCGGGGATTTGGTCGCGCTTCATAAGGCGCTGCGTGGCCTCGAGCATCGCCTTGATGCTCGCGTTGTAGTCCTCCAGTAGCTCCTCGCTTTCTAGCGCGCCGGCCTGCGAGTCGGTCGCAGCGCCGTCCGCGGAAGCGTCCGCGGAAGCGTCCGCGGCGGGCGGCGGCGCGGTCTGCGGGGGGGCGGTGTAGAGCCGCGCGCCGAACAGCGCTTCGTCCATCGCGAGAAACTCGCGCAGTTCCTCGTCAGAGCGCGCGAGGAAGTGGCAGAGCGCGCGCGGACTGGTCGCGCGCGCCTTGCTCTCGCTGGACTTCTGCGAGAGCAGCTTGCTCAGCTTCTCTTCGCGCTCCTCTTCGTTGAACTTGCTGCTGAACATGCCCGCCTGGATCACTTGCTCGTCGAGGTTCAGCTTGAAGTTCGCCTTGCTGAGGATCGACTCTTCGACGGGGCTCAACGTGACGAAACGGAACACGCGGACCTCGTGCTTCTGCCCGACGCGGTGCGCGCGAGCCTGCGCCTGCAGGTCCGCGTGCGGGTTCCAGTCGCTGTCGAACAAGATGACGGTGTCCGCGGTCTGCAGGTTCAGCCCGAGCCCGCCCGCTCGCGTGCTCAGAATGAAGATGTTCACGTCGCCGTTCGGCGCGTTGAAGCCGTCCATGCGCTCTTGGCGCGCCTGCATGCTCATGCTGCCGTCCAGCCGCAGAAACTTGAACCCGCGCAGCTTCAGGTAGTCCGTCAAAATGTCCATCACGTTGGTCATCTGGCTGAAAATCAGCACCTTGTGGTTGAACTTCAGCAACTTCGGCAGCATGCGGTCGAGGCACTCGACCTTGCCGGAGGTGCGCAACAGGTCCTCGTCGATGTAGTACTGGTCCATGAAAAGGTAGGGGTGGTTGACGACTTTGCGCAGCTGCATAATGCTGTTGTTCATGTTGCGCACGGTGGTGCGCCCGTGCTCGTCGGTCAGCTTCAGCGACTTGTTGACGAGCCGCTCGTACAGAAACTCTTGGTACGCGCTGAGGCAGATGCGCACGATGAACTCGCGCTTTCGCGGCAAGTCGGCGAGCACGTCTGCCTTCACGCGGCGCAGCAGGAACGGCCGCAGCACCAAGTGCAGCCGGTTAATGATCACCATTTTTTCCTCTTCGTTCATGGAGACGTAGTCGCGGTCCACGAGCTGGTCTTTGAACGGCTCTTCAAACCAGCGCTCGAAGTCCTCGTTGGAGTTGAAGGTCAGCGGCATCAGAAAGTTCAGCAGACTCCAGAGCTCGCTGAGATTGTTCTGCAGCGGCGTGCCCGTCAACAGCAGCCGGTGCGTCGAGCGAAACTCCGAGAGCGTGCTGTGGAACTTCGAGCTGCTGTTTTTCATGCGGTGACCCTCGTCGACGATGACGAGCTTCCAGTTGAGCTTCGCGAGGCTGGAGCGCTCGCGCAACAGGTACTCGAACGTGGTCAGCAACACGTTGAAGCGCCCGCGCGCGACGAGCAGGTTGAGCGAGCGGCGCTCCTCTTTCGAGCCGCGGTACTGCAGCACGCGCAGCGTCGCGCACCACTTTTGCATCTCGTTCGCCCAGTTCGGCAGCGTGGAGAGCGGCACGACGATCAAGTGCGGGCCGCAGTTGCGCTTGAACTCGAGCAGGTACGCGAGGAACGCAATCGTTTGAATCGTTTTGCCGAGCCCCATCTCGTCTGCGAGAATGCAGCTCAGCCGCCGGTTGTACAAGTTGACCAGAAACTCGAGCCCTTTCAGCTGGTACGGCATCAGCGCGCCGCCCGTGAGCAGCGAGGGCTGCACGACTTTCTCCGCCGCCAGCGAGTCGAACGAGAACTGCGGCGGCGCGCGCGCCTTCTTCGCGGCGGTCTCCGCGGGCGACTGTTCGCGCGAGGCCGCGTCCACGTCCTTCTCGGCGGCGCGCTTGTCCTTCAGCCGCCGAGCCATACGCTCGGCCGCGAGACTCTCCGCGCGCAGCTCGCGCTCGAACGTTTCGTTGGTCTCGAGCTGCACCTTCGTGCAAATGTCTTGCAGCAGCTTCTCGGTGTTCTCGAGGATTTCGAGAATGCGCGCGTTCTTCGCCTCCTTAATCATCTTGACATAGCTCTCCAGGTCGTTGTCGCGCAACGCTTTGATGCGCGCCTTGCTCTGCCGCTCCGCTTCGCAGATGCGCCGGTACTCCAGCGAAAGCATCATCGCGCTGACGTTGCGCGTCAGTTCGGCGCAGTGCGAGAGCCGCTTCGCGCTGAAATCGAGCTGCTGCTGGTGCTGTCGAGCCAGCTGGTCCTTCAGCCGCAAAAACGAGCGGCAGCGCAAACTTTGTGAGTTGAAGTTCTGCCGCCGCAGCTGGTTTGCGGCGTCGGAATAGCTGCTGCGCAGAAAAAACAAATCGGCCTTGGCAGAACACAAATTCAGCGCCTTGAACTCTCGGCTCTCGAAACAGTCGTTGGAACCTGCGCCCAGCAAAAAATCGAGCTTTGTGCCGATACTCGCGCGCGAATCAAACGTGTCTGGCTGCAGCGGTAGCGAAAAGAGCGAAGCACCGCGGCTGAACGGCGCATTCAAGTACTCGTAGGTCTGTTCCGGTGTGCGCAACGACGCGTTGACATACGCTGGCCGCAGCGCGGCCTGCAGCTCTGCGAACTGGTGCAGCCGCGCGAGAAAGCGTACGCGCGCCGCGCAAGCGGGCGGGATTTGCACAACCGCGTCAAACCGCTGCGGGTCGTCCAGCGCCGCGCGGAGCAGCGCGATCTTGCTCCACTGCTGAGGCGCGCCGACGCTCCGCAACAGATCTTTCTCGGCGTAGAAGCAGCGCGGCACCGGCACTTTGCGGTCCGCGGCGAGTCCCGAGTACAGATACTGCAACACCGCGCCGTTCGGAGGCACGGCTTTGCCCAGCGCGCGATGCAGCGCGAGCAAGTACTTGGCGTACCGCGCATAGTTTCGCAAGTAGCGAGTGTTCAGCGCGTCCGTCGCTTTGCTGCATGCGGCGGCGGCGCTCTTGCGGCTCGCGGCCTTCGCCGCGCGAAGCTCTGCGCGCGTGGGCTTGCCGCGCCGCGTCGCCGCGGCCGCTGCGCTCCGCTCCGGCGCGGGCTCTGCAGCGCCGTCTGCGAGCGGCAAGCCGAACGCTCGCAAAATCTCGGGCGAAACGTACGCGTAATTTCGGGCCGCCACCGTCCACGCCACTGCGCGAACCACGCGCTGCTGTGCGCAGGGCAACGCATTATACAAACTAATAAGTTCAGCAGCGTACATCCCGGTTAAATTAATTCGGAGATCAGCAGAACTCGCTCGTCTCTCGCGCGCGCTCCGCAGCTCGACGCCGCCAAGCCAACAGCATCGACTCGCTCGCTTTTACTTATATAGAAAATCAATTTACTTTTTCATCGCAGCCACAGCCTTCTTCGTCGCGGCCGCCAGCTTGCGCTGCTGCTCGCGGAATTTTCGCTGCTCTTCGTCCTCTTCGGGTTTTTGCTTTTTTTCTTCCTTCAGAGGTTTCTTTTTTCCATTATTGTTGAGCAGAACCATCGCTTCGAGTTTTTAGAATTTACGCAATATTATTCGAGTCGCCCCGGCCGTTTTCGGCTCACCAAATTAACGTGCCCCTCCTGCTGCGACAGATCTAGCAACAGGAGCAACTTTTTGCACTGTTCAGCTAAGCGCAGCTTTCCGACGAGGTCTCTGTAGCACAGTTGCGCGCTTTCTGCGCACAGCACGCGCGAGTGGAATTCATCTGGCGCGCCCGGTATCAACGCGTAGGGCACGCCAAAGCGCACGCCTGAACTGAGCAACCACCTGTTCGTCGGACTCGGCAACGCAACACCGTCCACACAGCAAGCCTCGCGTAACTCAAAGTGGAAAGCCAAAAAGCTCAACGCTTGCGGTGCGCCCAGTTCATTAGTAACGCCAAGCGCGGCGCTCAACCGCTCATAAGCGTGGAAAAAGCTCTGCCAAGTGCTGCAGAAATTCTCGTGCCTCTTCCACTGCTCGTTCAGCACGGCAGTCAACTGCATTTGCAGCCCGTTGAAGCTCATTTTGAAGCTTAAAGAGGCGTCTGTTGTCTCAGCTCGGGCGCCAGCTAAGAGACAGGAAGTCTCGGCCGCACCGTGTATGGGTTCTGGAGACAACAAGAGTCGCTGAAGCGCAGATTCTCTAAACTCTGCACCAAGCAAAATTTCTTTCTCAGATGCACCGTACAAGCGCTGCACGAGCAAAGCAGCGCTAGAAACAGCACGCAAATGCTCGTCATAAGAACGATTCATTAGCGATGGCGCAGTTCGCAAATCGAAGAAACGTACATCTACAAAGCTGTACTGCAGCAATTTGGCGAGCAGTATGAGCAAGCGGTATAGCGGAACGGCTACGTGCAAAGATTCAGTTTTCAGCCATGCAGCTTCAATCAAATGCTCCCTTAGCTCATCAGTTAAGTCGCAAAAAGAGCTGCATTTGCATACAAACAAAGCCAGCACGAAATGGTCAAGACGGTACGATACTTCTACGCAATTGAAACATAATAGAGCAACAGACGAAGCAGTGTCTAGTCTTAAGCGCTTTGCTAAGTTGCGCATCAATCAAGCGAAACTTATGCGACGTCAACTAGACCTTCAAGCATAGTCCGTTGCGGTACTTGTACTTTCTCGGACATTCCAGCTTCGCGTCGATGATAGTGGTTTTTTCGCACTGGTTATTTAACGCGAAATATCCTCTCGGACACATAGCGTGTGTCGTTTGGGTTACTACTGTCTCGCATTCGTCGTTGATCACCTGCCCAGCCGCGCAGGTGTATACAGCAGGGGCGTTCAGAGTTTTAACGCACTGCTCGTTTTTGTTAAGCGTGTAGCCGCGCGGGCAGGTCGGTTTGACTGCGTGGGTTACTAACTTCACGCACTCCGATCCATTCAGCAGAGTTGCGTTTGCGGGGCAGGTAAGCACTGTGCTCACAGTCTCTTTGCGCTCGCACTGTCCGTTTTTAAGCACGGCGTCCTCCGGGCACACCACGTCAGGCGCCATCGAAAGCAGTAACTCGCACTCGTCACCATACGTAGCCTTGTAACCCTTAGGACAGCGCACGATAACTGGCTTGCTTATGCTGATCTGACAAATTTCGTTAACCAGGGTGTAGCCTTTGGGACACACTATGTCCACTTTCACAGTTTCCACAGAAACGCAAACGCCGTTCTTATTAATAGTGTTCTCGGGGCAAATAATATCCGCTTTCTGCACGTAGTTCTTGAAGCATTCGTCGCCGTCTAGAGTGTAGCCAGGCTCGCAGAAGGGCTCAACGGGACGCTCTTCAATTTTAATGCAGCGCTCGCCTTTTCTCACGAAATCAGACGGGCAACGAAACGCAGCATTCTGTCGAAGAGTGAAGTAACAGTTCTTGCCTTTGGCTTCGCCGTCAGGGTCGCACCGGTGTTCGGGTTTGTACACTTTCTCGATAAAGCAGGTGTCATCGTTCGCTGAAGCTTTAGTGCCTCTTGGACAAACAGTATTCGGTTGGTGCTTTATTATTTTGACACAGGTGTTTTCAACTAGATTGTATCCCGGCAGACAATCAGCCAGCGCCTTTTCGTAAACATACGATTCGCATTTTTTGTTGTTGAGAACGTAGCCATCAGGGCAGGATTGCGAGCTTTGGAGCTTCGTAATTTTGATGCAGTCCTGGTTCATTTTGGAATATCCTTCTGGACATACGTGCGATGATGCTTCAATGATTTCTTTAACGCAAGAGTTTCCTTGAAGACTGTAGCCAATATCACAGGTGAGAACGCTCGGAGAGTACTCCATTACCTCACACTGGCCAGATTTTAGCAAAGTACCTTCCGGGCACTGCATAGCAGCTTTGACTCGCTTGTACTGAACGCAATTCGTGTTATCCTGCATAAAGCCATCAGGGCATTTCGTTGTAACTGGCGCATACTCGATTTTTACACAAGCCTTTCCTTGAACGTCAAAGCCGTCGGGACAAAATAGCTGCGGTTCAAGAATGTCAGCGTATTCTTTCTGCGTTACCATCGGCGCGCCAGCCACCACGCCTTTTCCAACAGGAACAAACTGGCCAACGTTATGCATTGGAATTTCATCGTATGTGTGTGATCCATGGGAGTGGAGCGAGCTGGAATGAGCAACGGGGTGACTGTGCGTCGCCTTGTCTGCTAGAGCTTCAGAAACTGAAACCATTACTAGCGGCACTAGCCGGTAGTTACGATAGCCAATCATATTGAAAAAAATCAAGATTGTGTGTGAATCGCAGAGAAAACTATGATGCGCGTGATGCGCAGCGTCGAACGCGAAGCGTCACCAATAAATGTTTCGTGAAGCATCAGATCTAGAAACGCTGCGTTTTTTTGTGTCGCTTCGCTTGTTTTTCGGTGGTTTTGATCCAAACTCGTCGAGACGCATCGTCCGCTTTTCTAACGTTCACGGAGCTCTGTCCAGACTCCAGTCGGGTGGCCAGTTCCTTCGTGTTATTGTAATCTTTCTGAGCCTTTTCATCAATGTATTCAAGTCTGATTTGCTTTTTAGCTCTATTTATGTAAAGCATTTCGTTTGACAGTTCGTCTTCTTTGAAGACTCGCTTGACCGAAAACTTTCTGTCGGCGCTAGTGCGGCATTTTTTGTAGATAGACTTGATCGCATTACGCTCTGTTTCAGTGCAAAATAACACAAGAACCTCGCCGTGTTTGTCAAACCGCCCAGTTCTTCCAGCGCGGTGTGTGAAGACAATGTGGTCTCCTGGTATTTCCGCCATGACGACGAGGTCAACGCCAGGTAAATCGATTCCGCGCGCCATA